AATATAAAATCCTTAAGTGTCTTCCAGAAACAGTGTGTATGAGACTGCCAAATTTAAATGTCACCAACACACCCACTCTTCCGAGAATTCCAGTCCTGCTATCTTTTTTTATAAACTTAATTTTTAAAATACAATAGAAGACCATCTTACTGACCATAATTATTTGTATTTGTACTTGTAGCTTCTTCAGTAAGTAAATCAAACACGCTAACTTCATAGGCAGCACTACGCATATTGTTCCAGCATGGAATTATATATTCCGGTAAGAACTCCTACATGCTGCCTACTAAACTCTTCTTTTTAATTAAGAAATTTACTCTTTTCTAAATACAAACTTCCATATACCTTCTGCAACAGAACATCTCCGGAGTTTTCATAGAGTAAACAGCCTCTGATGTGAAAGACAGAATTGGGGAAAACTCCCTTTGATATATAACTATACTAACCACTTTCTCTCTTATTTGTTGACGATATAACACTAACTTTGAGAAAAAATTTACTATATTAAAAAGAAGTATTGGCAAAATAATTAATTTCTAGTTGTCTCGCAATTTAACAAGACTTAACTAGCAGCATGTTACCAACTAATTCTCCACCGATTACCAGTAAATTCTCTGTGTTTTAAGAAATTTCTGATGTAGCATGTTATTCACGATTATGTCCAAATGCAATAGATGTAAAAGTAAAAAAATAAAAATAGGGTGTAAAAAGTGGAACAATAGTATAATTAACCTGTGATTAACTAGTTGACTTAAAAGCAAATTCATGGGTGGACAGCATTAGGTCAAAGCAAATTCATGGGTGGACAGCATTAGGTCATCCTAAATAAGTAGATCTAAGTAGTCTATACTTCCTTTTACTGTTAATTTTTCTATTAAAAAAATAAAATTTCTATTTCTAATTTTTTTTACATCACTTCACAGATATGGCTTAAGGTATTTTAGTCTGCTTTAGTGACTCTCCATTCTGTGTTGAAATGAATGAGATTTCCAAAATAAATGTTTCTGAAATATATTTCTGCACACATGAAACTGTAATTTTCAGAGAAGATATGTTCTTTTAATGTATGGAGATGACTACTACACTATATCAGCTAATATCAAAACGATAAGATACCTTCCAGTTGCAAGGCACAACGGCAATTACAATACAAATTTAAGAGGCAGACTGTTCCCTATGTAGTAAAAAGCTTTGGATAGCTTTAACAAGTGACAAACTCACTGAAGCATCTATCCTTAATTTGGTGTGAAATTCACCTCTAAGATCCAATCAAAAGTTTTGTATTTGCTGTAGTTGTGATGGAAGTGAATGACATTAAAGTGTTTTCACCTCTCAGAAGTAGTTAAGGTTTAAGCAGAAACAACCCTTTTAGCAAAATCTTAACATCAGAATATCTAGCTCAAATCTGCTGCTATCAGAAACACACTGGCAGGTCTGCAGTAATTTCAAGACCTACCTGCTAGCATGAAATTCATAACCTTGAGGCAGAAACTCCCTATCAGACATAACATTTCTAAAGACAAATCAGACATTTGTATTTTTCCTCCCCCCCCCCCCCCCCCCAAAAAAAAAAAAGGTATCCTGTCCTTCAATTAGGGAGGCTCACAGTCCTGGATTTAGCAAGGTGAAGTATCAAAAGACTAACAATAAAGAAGGAGCTGAATAATGAGCTTAGAGCGTAGATTGAAAGGACAGAAGACCAGGCCCTGAATACACAGGAAACGTTATCATGACCAAATCAAACACAGAACTCACTTTCCCACTTTATCTGTCACTTTCTTTTTAGTGCATTTCTCCCTGCAAAATTAATAGAGATTGAAATGCAAAATTCATGCTTGTTACTATCTAAATACATGGTTATCTGGGTTTAACAGCTAACACTACAGTAAATGATTCTGTGTTTTTTTATTTTCTATGTTGTTGGACATCTTTTTAAAATTGTGTATTAAATAATTAGCTTTTCCTTCTAGTTCTAAACTAACTAGACCACTAGGCCCAGTATAACATAAACCACTATATAAATAAAAATAAATAAAATAAAAATAAAACAAAGCTTCACTTTAATTGCTTGACCACATCATGTGTTTTCATTACCACAAGGGAAACTGGAGAGAAATAACAAATTCAGTAACAGGTTTAGCAATGTATTCCTGAGTTTTGTTTTAAGTCAATATATTATTGATACTTGAGCAAGTAATGAGAAAGCGGTAATCTATTTCATTAAAGGATGCAATTTTCAACATCTTTCAGTGAAGAACTAGACCAATATTAACCGCTTTTAAAAACCACCCTCCATTTCTTAGACTTACGTATGCTACATGTAGCACACAGACCAGTTGTCTTAGCCAAACTCTTTTGCTCTCCGTGTACAACAGAATTATTGTGATTTTCTATACTGCTTCAAAATCAAGACAAAATATAGCATATATCAAGCCTAATGTTTTGGCTAAGTCATACAGTACCATAGAATGTTCTTTTATGAGTCGCAAGGGTTAATCTCTGCTTTTAATTAAACCCAAGTAACTTTAATGAGAGTGAATACTGCAGCAACATCTATAAACAGCAATGACCGTATTAGCAGAAGAGGAGTTATGAAACTCCTGCCAACTGCCAACGCTGCTTGCACAATTTTTTTTTTTTTTTTTAAAGATTAAGATATAAAAATCTTGTAAAGTTCCACTGTTTGGGGTACTTGTAGATCCCTGAAAAAAATTAAGTCTAGGCAGCTCTAAAGAATGTAACATACAGTAGAATGTAACCATGATGATAGGAAAAATGCTTTTGCTAATGATTTTTTTCTGTTAGATACTACTATTTCCACATACTGGTGGTTTTCCTCTATATTACAACTTCTGTTTGTTGCTGTCTGTGAATCTAAAGCTGTCATCCCTGTAAATCTGAGACTTCCATCAAAGTGAACAGGAATTTGGGGTGCATTAGTAACACAGAATCAGTCCTAACCTATACACCAGCATCCTAAGTGGTAGGAATGACTGCACTTGTTGAACAAATACATATTATTTAATTGTTGCACAGAACAGGTGGAAAAATTTATTGCATTTTGAGATAACCACCTTACAAGTAAATGGGGAATCTGAAAATAATGACAGAAACGTAGAGCATACATAGGGTACTTCTATGACCATAGCACTGCTAAGGTAGCTTAGAATTTGGTCCTGGGAAGACTGACTGTAAACTTTAAGAAAATATCACGGAACTCTTTTGCATTCTTTTTGCTTGGTTTTGTATAGAGTTGGGTTGTTAGGATTGTTTAAGTAATAAAATAAAACACAACATTTCTTCGGAAATCAGTCTTTTTTCTCTGCTGTTCCCAACAGACTTGCTGACCAAACTTAAGATAATGCTTTCCAAAGATGCGTGTGATTTGGATCTGAAGTCACATGTTGAAAAGTGACTAAGGGGCTGATTTTCAAAGACATTAAGATACCTAAAGGTGCATTAAGCACTTAGAATTTTTTAAACTGTCTGGGCATCTAACGCCTATTTAAATCACTTAGTCCTTTCTGAAAATCCCAGTGGGCAGTTATCTACGTTTTATGTGTCTGTATATCTTTGAAAATCTGGCCCATTAAATACTTAACAACCTAAGTCCCCCTGACTTTCAGTGAGACTTAGGGTCCTAAAAAGCATAAGTACTTCTGAAAATTGGTCAAGTCACTCTCTTTGGTCTTTACTTCTTATTTCTGTTAAAGAGCAATCCAGTAATGCTCATCTGTAGCAATTTAGTTAACCGAAGGTTCAGGATGGTCAGACTTACATAAAAGATTGAACGTACATAGTGTAACTACATAATGAAGGTCCTGAGTACAGACTGCATCCTCACAAGCTTTCTGAAACCATAAAAAATATGAATCTAATCTATATAATGCCTGCCAGTGCCCAAAATTCATTGTTGCAACAAACGTGATCCAAAATGGGTTGAGTTCCCCCTCAAAAAACAAACTGCATATTCTAATTACCAAGCAAGTTCTGAAAGACAGCCACACAATAACAAAAAAATCCAGAGAAAAATGAGAAAGAGAAGGAACTAGTGAATAGGCTCTTTAAACAGCCAGCAGTTCCAAAAGAGACAAGCCTTAATTCTGAAATTTCTTTTCATAATATGAAACTATAAGACATTCTCTTATGCAAACATTTGAAAGATTATCTTCTGATCTCTTTTAATGTCAATGGGAGGTAACTTGCACTGACTATATTCCCAAAAAGGAACTGATTTGTAAATTAGAAACACAGGGAATCAGATTGCCACCTACAGGAAAATTTAGTGTTTATTGTCAAAAATAACTCAAAAAGAACACAAACTGCCATCCTGCCAAGACCTCTTTCAGTTTTAGTTATTCTTTCAAAACCAATTAGTATTTTCTTTTAATGCAACTATATCTTGAACCAAATCCAGAAAGCCAATAGCTTTTCCTTTTATTTAAAACAGTATTGCTCCATGAGCTAAGAATGTTCCATAGTTCAGCTTTAAAGCAGCAGACTGTAATCACATTTCAGTTAAAGAACTTTAAATCTGCTTACCTGATACCATTGGCGCTAGCCTGAATATGTCTGATAGTCTGCTGTTAACTGGTTCATAGGGGGAATCTTCAAGCAAATCATTTCCTAAAGACAACAAAGATTTGGATTCTTTTTACACAAGAATTGAGGACAGGATTTTGTTGTTTAGATCTGCTCTATAATGAAGTTACTCTGTAACAGTAAAGCTACTTTAATCTGTTTGTGTGGCTGTTTCTCCTCAAAGCACAACATATAGAAACACCTGAAAGAAACAAGTTGTTTATCCTTGTCACTATTTTCCCTCCTTCCTCCATGGATAAGGTCATAATCTGCAGAGACTGCTTCTAACATCACAGGGACTGTCTCATCTTAACATGCCAGCAGGAGAGAAGCAGTAGCAGGGATGTTCCTGTTCACTCATACTAATATTAGAGCTCTTATTTGGAGGAGCAGCCCAGGTAACAGCTGAAAACTAGCATCTTTGTAATAAAACATTCCTAACAAAATGCTGCAGGAAGGGAAATTAATTTAGGACGCAGAAAATGTCCAAGAAGAGTGATGTAATTTACTATGAAAGTCGGAACAAGGAGATATATTAACCTACTAAAGTGTTCCAACTGATGCCAGGATAAATGAACAGAAAGGCTTGGTTTCAGTGGAACAACATAGAAGCAGAAGCAGCTACAGCAAAGAGTTAAGGGGGGGCCACACTGAAATGAAGGATTGCATCTTCAACTCCAGAGGTTCTTGAACAATGCAAAACATGTCCAGAATGATACACTTCACATAAGGACCTGAACGTTCTCAGTAGGCTTTAGGAAATTTGGCAATGATATCAATGAGAACTGAAGTCCCAAGTCAGTCACTGCTAACTCGCACTTCTGCATGCTCTAGGAAGCACCAACTTCTTTTTTCTGTTTCTGCATGCCCCACGAATGTTGCTGGTTAATACAGGGAAAGAAAGAATAAACCTCTTAAAACAACGTTCCCCCTCTCTATATATTATTTAACTTTTAGCAAAGAGCTAAGGAACTAGTTTCGGTGCCCCGTGATCTGGTTAGATGAGTCCCAATTAAGGGGTTTAAAATGTTACTAGGAATATGTCTCCAAATGATTGGGTTTGGTGGCTTTTGCACTTGCTAAAGCCCTCATCTTTGACTTTGGCTTGGAAAGGTCAGATGGGTCCCCTAGAGGAAACCCTTATTGTGGATTTCCCAACAACAGGAGATGCAGCAGCAGCTGTTCCCGAGTTGGATGAAAGGTCCTCAGTTTGCAGCTGAGAGCACAATGTGAATTATGAGGTCAGACCCTCCGTTTAGTCTCTGTGGTGGTAGCTAGCTGCGGATGTGATGGGCTGGGAAATCACACTGCATTAGGGGAGTGTAATGTTCCCATGTTTTGCAACGTACCCTGTAAACTCTGGTACATGCTCCAGTAAATGCGCAGGCAGTTTTTCTCCTTCTTCATGCCCCTCTTGCAGCGGCAGTTGTACAGAGATTTCTGCTTTAGAGCTTCCATGGCGCTTTTGCATTCATCCTTTGCCTCCAGGCCTGTCGCCCGGCTGAAGTTGCTCTCTTTGCCGGCTACACACTGCCTCAGTGTCCTGTATTTAGTACTACAGCTCTGCTCCTTGAGACACTGATCGCTGGCTTTAACGCAGTCAAGGCGATCCCCTCCAGGCAGCCCGCTCACTTCTGCGGACAGAAGTACATCTAGAGAAAGGAGACACAAACCAACAAACTCTCTTTGAGCGGTGAGGCTGATTTAACTAGGGCTACAAGGCAGGCGTCTGGGAAGCACAAGGCACCTCCTAACACAGCTGCTCCCGCAGCCAGCCCCACAGGCAGCACCTTGCAAACCTCAGGGCTTCACGCTATATCTTAGGAAAAACACATGGGGTTTCCGTGGTCTTATAGTCAGATCCAGTTCAGTGGAAGCCCACAGGAACAGTACGTGTTAACCTCTATGGTTAAATTAAGACAAAACACAAAAAGGAAAGAAAATCCACAGGGGCTAACGTGCCCAACAAAATAAAGATTAATTGTTCCTTACATCCACTTTGGTGGAGCAAATAACCTTCCCACTCTGGGGTTTAACTGAGGGGTTAAATACTCGGACTCACTTTCCTCAAGTGCTTTGCTGTAATTTCAATTACATCCACGAACAACCTGCTCGGAGAGATAAGTATCCTCACTGATTGTTATTAGGCTCTTTTTACGTCAGACACTTTTTCATAGCTGTACCCATTTTTGCTTCTTCCACATATATCTTCAAAGGTGGAATTTATGACCCCCCCCCATTTCTCTCCACGTATGATGCTTTTCAGGAGAACAAAGCAAATTACAGTAATCCTCTCCTTTCCAATGTGCCCCCTGTCACGCTCTCTCAGACACACACAGATGGAAATGCAAACAAACATCTCCTGTGGAAGGGAAACCAGTGTCGGCTGCAAACCACTCGCAAGCGGGCAGGTTGCCAGGTTCAGGTGAAGATGTAATCCTTCAGCTGGCTCATGCCACCCTCCCTGAACAGCCTTATTTTATTAAAATGAAAAGTTTCCCTCTAACTTGCAGGAATCCAATTTAACAAGAAGCTACGCAAGCAAGCATCTAACTCCGTAGTCTCCCAGAGCCTGAAATGCAGACTGGGCTAAATGATGTGAGGCAGAGCCGTAAAAACTACTGGAAACTTCATCGTTCTGCCTAAACAATAGGCTGACAACCATCAGGCATCCGATCCCATAAACCCTATGTATTGCTCTATGAAGCGACATACAGAGAGAAATCAGATACCAGCAACTTACCCACTAAGGGTAAAACGAAGTACAAGATAGCGAGAAACATCTTGCTGTCTTCAGACGGTTTCCCCAAACGAGCTGGCGTGCCACAACAAAGAGGATCAGCATGTAGACATTCCAAAAACGCCGAGATCCAAAGACTCCAAGTTGGGGTCCACAAATTCCAGGAAAGCCCCCTCTCTCCTCTTCGCCGCTACCACCGCCAGTAGCTGGAGCGGAGATGCAAACGCTGAGCTTTTTCCCTTAGATTTCAGGTCTGAGCAACCTGAAAACACAAGCACTGACTTCAATGAGGGAGAGAGAGGCGCACGCACGGAGTATATGTGTGTGCGAGTGAGCAAGCGGGAGCGGGGCAGGAGCGCCGGTCGCCTCCTTGGGTGGGCAGCGCTTGTTCCCAGGGAGGGACCGGCAGCGCAC